TTGGCGAAGTGTATTACATAAATATATACCAAAAAGTATAAGGAAGGATTATATAAATAAAATTAAAAAGTAAGTTGTCATATTAAAATACTATTTTAGGAATGTGTTAACAACTCTAAACGGTTTCCATTTCCATTATTTTTAAAAAAGTCTAATATGTTTAATTAAAAATGTTTTTATAAAAAATTTCGACTCTCTCTTAATTCGTTTAGGAGGTATAAGCATTTAAAGACTTTTTCAAGTTGTACATTTCGGCTTTCATTTGATGAACATTGCATTTTTAACATATTTAGATTTATTTGAGTTAAATCTTAACTTTCAATATTTTTAAAACTATTTGCGCGTTTAGGTTTGGAATCATTATATTGAAATTAATACTACTGTTTTATACATAAATTATTTTTTGACTTGGGTCACTCGACACGAAATTGCCCATATAAGATATTTAATATTGAAATCAGATAGTTTTAAACCCACCTTTTTTAAATAAATACAATTTTATTAATTTTCATATAGCTTTGGATTTAATTATTCTAATTATAGGTACTTTTTTAGTTATTAACACCAGGTTTTTCTATGATCTATCATAAGATACTAATATTCTTAATATTTAGCATGCTGTTCCCAAGATATTGAACCTAAGTATTAGAAGAGAGCACCAGCGTTTAAATATGCAGCACTAGCACCACCTCTCTTGTATATGACTATAAAATAAATATGAAACTTTATCATTTTTGTATCACTTCGCTACTAAAAATTGCAGTCATATATATTCGTATTAATATAAAAATTGCAACTCGTGTTTGCAATTTCTAGTAGCAGGCAGACATAATTGCAGGCCAACACAAATATATTTTTGTGCTTTAGCAGCGCACACTCAAATTTGTTAAACTAATATGGCGAGTATTGATGTTATTTTTGTTTGCGTTTAGTTTTTCCTAGCAGCAATGTAACTTTATTTTGGTTTTGCTACTGCCAGTTGTAGTTTTATTTATTATTTTTTTGGCAATATTGATGCTGGAATTTGTAAATAAACATATGTAGGTATGTATGTAAGTACACTCACAGTTTTATGACATTTCATGAGCTTAAATTCAATATTACACTTCACATTTGTACGTATGTATGTATGTATGTATGTATGTATGTATGTATGTATGTATGTATGTATGTATGTATGATGTATGATGTATGTATGTAGTATGTATGTATGTATGTATGTATGTACTGTATGTATGTATGTATGTATGTATGTATGTATGTATGTATGTATGTATGTATGTATGTATGTCTGTATGTATGTATGTATGTATGTATGTATGTATGTATGTATGTATGTATGTATGTATGTATGTATGTATGTATGTATGTATGTATGTATGTATGTATGTATGTATGTATGTATGTATGTATGTATGTATGTATGTATGTATGTATGTATGTATGTATGTATGTATGTTATGTATGTATGTATGTATGTATGTATGTATGTATGTATGTATGTATGTATGTATGTATGTATGTATGTATGTATGTATGTATGGTATGTATGTATGTATGTATGTATGTATGTATGTATGTATGTATGTATGTATGTATGTATGTATGTATGTATGTATGTATGTATGTATGTATGTATGTATGTATGTATGTATGTATGTATGTATGTATGTATGTATGTATGTATGTATGTATGTATGTATGTATGTATGTATGTATGTATGTATGTATGTATGTATGTATGTATGTATGTATGTATGTATGTATGTATGTATGTATGTAGTATGTATGTATGTATGTATGTATGTATGTATGTATGTATGTATGTATGTATGTATGTATGTATGTATGTATGTATGTATGTATGTATGTATGTATGTATGTATGTATGTATGTATGTATGTATGTATGTATGTATGTATGTATGTATGTATGTATGTATGTATGTATGTATTTATGTATGTATGTATGTATGTATGTATGTATGTATGTATATATGTATATATGTATATATGTATATTTATTATTATCCATCGATCCATCGATGATATTCGACCTATAACATCCTGTACTGATTGACATATTAATTATTAAAATATAGTTTAAAAATTCTCATAGTTTCTGTATGATATAATACAGAAAATACTACCTTGATATTTGTTTGTTTTTTTTTTCCTTAATGTTTTACAAAATAATATTAACTACATTTCTTAAAAAAAATATATATAATAATCTTCCACATTTTAGCAGTGTGATTTGAATAATTTGTAAAGTAAGCTCATTAGAATTCAACAAAAACAAGTAAGAAATTATAGTCGGGCGGGGCCGACCATATGATACCCTACACCAGTTATGAATATTAAATGTGATTTATTTTTCATAATAAAGCATTTATCTTCAATATTCCCTTGTTCCGATACATTTAAGCAATTTATGGATGAAAAACTAATTGTCTGAAAGAGGCTTTATATGGGGGCTAGGGGCAAATATGGACCAAGCCCGATAAAATTTTGTGAATATATCTATATTGACATAATATTTTAATATCATCGCGATATTTGTGTTTATAAGCTAATTTGGGACATTCAAGTAATTTTCTGAAGGGGACTTTGTATGGGAGCTAGGGTCAAATGTGGCCCGATCTTTATGAAATTTGGCAGAGTCATCAAGACTTCTATAAAACTTAGTTGTGCCGTATTTTACCGATATATCTGTATATTTAACATAATTATGAGCTCAGAAGCCCTTTTCGGGGGGTTCTGTTCTATGGGGGCTAGGTGAAATAATGGACCGATTTTAACCATTTTCAATAGGCTTCGTCCTTAGGTCAAACGTGCGTGCCAAATTTCATCCAATTATCTTGAAAATTGCGACCTGTACCTTGCGCACAAGGTTTACATGGACAGCCAGCCAGCCAGACGGACGGACGGACATAGCTTAATCGACTCAGAAAACAATTCTAAGCCGATTGGTATACTTTAAGGTGGGTCTAGGACGAATATTTTTGTATGTTACAAACATCAGCACAAATCCAATATACCCTCCCCACTAAAGTGGTGTAGGGTATAAATATTTTAATTATGTGTGTTCACCCTGTTTTATACAAGGTGATTATAAATTTATTAATTTCTACAACAAAAAATTTTTAAAACTATCATTTGGTTATAAAATTGTTATAAGTATAAGAATATTATCTTACAACTACATTGCTCAAAAATGTTTATTCATTAGAACAAAATAATAAAAACATCTAAAGAACGCTTTTAATTTGAGTTGTGTTTTATGGGGTAGCCATATTTTCAATAACATATACATATTTATTTAATTCATATGGAGGTTCCAAGCCCCCTAATAAAAGTCTGCCCATTTTTTCCTAATGTTCATAATGAAGTTAAAGTTTTTCGTCAAAATTAGAAGATTCTGACTCTAATAGTTTCCGAGAAAAACGATTTCTGTATTTAATTCATATCGGAGGTGCCACTATGTATATTTTACAAACTATTTTTTATGTTGCGAAAAATAATTATCCTTAATTAGAGATTAAAGATAAAATAAAATATAAGAAAACAATAAATAAATTTGCAGCTAGCAGTTGCAAAACAAAATTTAATTGCTGCTAGGAAAAACTCAGCGCAAATAAAAATGTCATCAATACTAGCCATATTAGTTTAACAGATTTGAGTGTGCGCTGCTATAGCACAAAAATATATTTTTTTTCTTGTACATCAAACAAGAGATTAATACTGTTCATTCGTGCTGCTAGAGATTTCAGTGTAACGTCGCAATTTTTCTAGTTAAACATAAAAACAGAACGGCAATATTTAGTAGCAATGTTCTTTAAATCTGAAAAAGTTTAAATATTTTTAGTATGACGATTGATAAAAATGTGTATTTTGCGGCAAATGCTGACTAATATATTACTAAAAGTAAACACTGTTTCCAAATTCATTACAGTTTAGAATTTATCGAGGATTAAAGTTTATATTTTTAAGATTTTTTTTCAAGAAGCATAATATTTAAAATAATATTATATTGTTAATATACCCAGCAGTTCGACGGGACAGTCCGGAACTAACCACTTGACATACCACTTGTGGTAGCCCCTAGCCACCCGACTACCCAAGTGACCAACCATTTTAACATGGGCTTGTCCTACAAGGAAGTCAATCGTCACTCTACAGTCTACAACGAGACTGTCAAGAGGTAGTCAAAAGTAGTCAATGGATGGTAATCTCCAAATGGGTTCTTGGGAGTCAGTCACATTACTAACTCTTTTACTAGTTACTTTACTAGCTATTGACGTGTCCTAGGAGAGAGTCAAGTGTCCCCAAGTAGATAGTCCAATGGACAGTTACTGCAGTAGGGTTAAATAACCGGTACGTCAAAGTTTAACTCTAAAAATTATGAAAAATAAGAAAAAAACTTTTTTAAAATTACTTTTATTTCTAGTTCAAATAAGTATTGAAATAAATATTTTTAATATTGCAGCTTATTTGCATCTTTAGTTAAATCCGACTTTTTCGAAATTTATTGTTACACATAAATGACTCTGAAAGAATAGAATTTGCTATATCAAGGAGAGATTATTTTTTGCCTAATTTCTGCTAAAAAGTTTTGTTTTAATCAGGGTTTCAAAAAACTGCTAATTGCAGTCGCAAATTACTAAATATTTGACTAAATTTAGTACCATGCTTAAAAAATAGTAACTCGTTAAAATTTCCCCTTACAAGCAGGGTTGTCAGATTTTTTTTACCTCCATCGCCAAAAGCTAAACGCATAATCGCCAAAAATCGCCAAAATAAAATATTATTTATTTATTTATTCCAAAATAAAAATCGTTTAAAAAATCATTTATATTTATTTATTTCATGTATTATAAAGTCAATATAAATCTAATAAAAGTCTATAATAAAATATTATATTTTTTTTTACTTTACATTTGTACTTTTAGTGCATTAGTTATTTATATTAAATTTATATCGAAATATTTTTTACAAAAATTAATTGCATAAATCTATAATATCATATACCTCATTCTCTGCAGATTCATTTTCACTGCTTGGTGTATCATACATTGTATTAGAATTAAACTTTTTTAACATTTTATCTGTAGGCTGAAATGAATTGCAACAATATTTATTAACATTCATATAACTTATTATTCTTATCAATGAATCTAAAAGTTCATATTGAATTTTATTACGTAAGCGAGTTTTAGTGTAATTCATAATAGAAAATACCCTTTCTACGCAAGCGTTGCTGGTTGGTAAAATTAACATGTTTAGAACGGCCAATGCTAAATCTTTAAAGTGAAATGTTCCAGCCGCATCGCAATAATTGTAAACTTGTGGCCAAAAGTCTAATAAATTTTTTGGGATTTCACCTTTAAAGACCTCAGTCCAATTGATATATGCTAATTTTGACCATTGCAATTCATATTCCCCTGCAGATATTTTTGGATTTAAAAATAAATTTAACGAATTTTGAACTTCCGAAAATTTTACTTGTGTTAAAGGGTATCCCCATTTTAATATTGAAAATTCTTTATATGTTTTAAAAATATTTATATTTTCAGGTAACCGTTTTAGCATTTCTTTTAATAGTTTTTTTAAGTACAAAAAACAATTTTCTTTTAAAATGTCTGCATCATATTCATTCATTTTTATATTTTTTAATTCCATTTCAAATTCTGTGCCAAAATCCATAGATTCCAATGGCAGAAAAGAATCAGGCGAATCAATAGCCAAATTTAATGAACATATTAAGTTATCCAAATTTCCATTATTTTTTAAAATTGACGGCTTAAACATTTTAGAAGAAAAAATTAATATTGTTGAAACTATTTCATCATACATGCTACCTGCATCCATATGATCAGATTGAAATTCTAAATTTAAATGATTCATTTTATTAACTATTGGGTTAATAAATATCAAAAAAAGTCTATTTTTTTCGTCAGATAATTCTTTATAAATATGTTGAGCAGTCTTGTCATTTTCAGCAGTTGAGATTAAAGAAAAGTGGTATTTTAACTCCACCCACTGCTCCAAAACTCTTCTGATGGCGGCCCCATAAGACAGCCAACGAGTCCCCGATATTTGCACAAGTTTTCTAAAATTATTTGAATCAACTCCAATGTTAACCAAATCAAAAGCTCTTTTGTATAGTAAAGTACGAAGTGGGCTGTGGCTAAAATAGTTGTAAATTTCTTTAAGTAAAAAGTCTGCATTTTTGGGAATTTCACTTGAGGCTTTGGAGCAGCATAAATGGAGGGAGTGGCAGGTACATTTTAAAAGTAATAATTGTGGATTTTCTTGTTTTAAAAGGATAAATAACGATTTATTTTTACCACATAGATTACTGGCCCCGTCAGTTCCAAGAGCTATTAAGTTTTTTATATTTAAACCCACTTTGTTTAAAAACAGTTTCATACCTTCAAAAAGATGTGTTGCAGTAGCTTCTTCTACCAGGAAAATGCCCAAAAAATGGGTAACAATTTTAAGTCTTTTATGATCAAAAAATCTTACACAAATGCTCATCCATTTAGTTTGGGATATATCGGTAGATTCATCTACCACCAAACTGTAAAAATTATCACCAATATCTTTCACCAAATCCACTAAAATTGACGGAGAAACGACATTTTTGATAATAGCAGTACACTTAGTTTTGTGCAGCCTTAATTTTTCAAATGCACTTTCTTTTGTTGAGCAGTTTCGTAGCAAGGTTGTAAGGTGGTCAACAGAAGCAATTGAGCTATGTTTTGCAATAAAAACGGCTAGTTTAATGTCAATAATTTTAGACTCATTTGATTGCGGCTGTATTACTAAAAGTATATAAAAATACATTAAAATTTATTTTATATATTTGTTTAAAATGAACTTACTAAAATTTTCAATTTTGTTTTGCTTAAACAGCACCGCCATATTAGAAATGTGTTTATTACTTTCTGAATGCTTTTTTAGATCGATCTTATGGGATCTTAGAGCTATTTTGCATCCAAAACACCACGATGTATATTGGTCGTTAGATGTTGATTGGTACGACAAAGGGGCATCTGCAATAGATTTTAGCCAACCTACAAATTTAAGTCATTAAAAGGTTTAAAATATTACATTTGTGTACTTACCTTTGGCCCAAATTTCATTTTCCCACTCCTTTCGATGTCGACAATCTACTTTAATTTTTTTTGAAGAAGATGCCATTATAACATTTACGTTTTTTAAATAATGCTTTAATAGTATTTCTTTAATTTTTTACTTCTCCTAAATGTTTTCTTTTGAAGTCTTAATTTTTCTATTTACCGTTAACTAATTTGACACTTGTTTGCCATCAATACTGCACATTTAAAGAGGTGTCACACATCACATTTTTCAATATCAATTTTGACGGAAAAGTACTATTAACAACAACAATCAGCTTGTTGTTTTTGTATTGTTTTACAAGTGTACGAAATGTCAAAGATATTGTTATAACCCATAAATATGAACTGATTTACTTGTTGTCATTAATTGTGTCATTCACTATGTAATAATAACATAATATATGAGGGATACCAGAGATGTATAATGTTATGTTATTAAATTTAAGTGTTAAAAAAGGTATTTCAAAAAAATAAAAGTAATTTGTTAAAAAATAGCCAAATAAATCGCCAACTAGTCTGTAAATCGCCAAAAACTCGCCACGTCGCCAATTGAAAATTTTGGTCGCCAAAGGCAATGAAAAATCGCCACGTTTGGCGAGAAATCGCCACATCTGACAGCCCTGCTTACAAGCTAACTGAAGTCAGTCAACTGTGTCAACACATTGCTGCAATAACTTGCAAGTGGTTTTGTTTTTCTTCAGCAGCCACACACACAAGCAGCGGCCATGTTAAGTTTTTCAACTCAGCCGAACTGAACACAACGACTGAACAGTAAAAACAGTTTTGCGTGTGCTGCTTACGTATTGCTTAGTTTTTGGTTTCGTTTTCTTACTAAGGGACGTAAAAAAAACTGATAGTTTGACTGGTTAGTACAAATCAAGCCGACTGAACAATAAAACTTGATGGGTTGTTTGTTCATTAAGACTTTGTTATTGTATGCAATTTGTTTTAGTATATTGTATGTCAAATTGTATGTTAAATTTGACAAAAGTAAACAAAGTAATTGATAATTATTGCTAATAGAAATTGTTAATTAATTTAAAATTTATAAAATTATAAATTACTATACTTATAAATTTAGATATTTTCTTTAAATAAAAATTGATTTAAATTTAAGCATTTTGATGATTTTTTAGTGAGATTTTGTTATTGTATGTATGTATGTATATTAGGGTGGGTCGAAAATAGGCTTTTCGCTCGGATCAACATCTAATAGTGAAATTGTGTTGTATTTTAACGTCAAATGGAAGACTGTAAAATATTTATTATTCAATTATTTTGAGGGTAAGAGCACGCGCATCGCTGCCAAAGTTTGTAAATGCGTTTATATGGGAAAAATGGCACTTTTTGGAGTTTTTTCACAAAATTAGGCTTTAAGTATTAATTATTGCACCATTTTATAGCAAAATCGTAATGTCTACAAAATTGTCTTTCCAAAAAGATGGAAAAACTCAAATTTCGTTAAACATATTTTGAGTTATTAAAATTTCCCCCGAGAATTTTGTGATTCTGAAGACATATAAAAGTAAATATAAGAAAATTTTTGTTAGTTTTGAAAAATTTTACAAGAAACTATTATGTTTATCCTTATAAGGTTCATAAATGTGCTAGTACGAATTTTTGTTCAAATTGGATAACGCTTACTCGGTTTAGTCTGTGGTCAAAAAAGGGCCATTATTTTAACAGCATCTCCAAAACTCCATTTTCAAACTTTAAAAAATTTTGTTAAATGGATTATTAAAAATTAAAGTTTTTTATGCTGGATATTATAAAGGACATATATAAAAATTAAACACAGAAAGAATGAGCTTAATACCTCTCATAGTTTTACCGTACCTGCGATGTGAATTTGAAGGATTTCGGGAAAAAGGCAATTTTTGCCAATAATTAAGTAAAAATTATATTATTACCAATTGTTGCTTAATTTTGATCAAGTAAATTGCGATTATTATTTCCGAGTCCATGGAAAGTTAGTTCTAATCAAATTTTCGAAACTAAAAATCATTAACCCTCTAAACACCGGTGTCAAAATCAAATTTTTGAATTTTATGTTCTTGAAGAAATAAGAGCATGATGTTGTTAATTTGTTGATGGATATTGATGAAACTTCTTAGAAGTTATTTTTACTACATTCAAATTCAATCCATTAAATCTATAAGAAAGTTAATTTTAGAAAATTCCTTTTTAAAAGTGTTTTTGTAGTGTTTAAAAAATCGGTCTTGAATTGACCCCAAGTATGACAGAGGGTTAATTTTTGAAGAAGTTTGATTCCTAGATTTCTGGATATATTTTCGTGTAGTTTGTCAAAATCAATTCATAATTAAATACACAATATTTTGCTATTTATATTAAATATACAAAAACTTGATTTTGACCCCGGTTTTTAGAGGGTTAATGATTTTTAATTTCGGAAATTTTATCAGAAATAATTTTTCATGGACTCGGAAATAATAATCGCAATTTAATTGATCAAAATTAAGCAACAATTGGTAATAATATAATTTTTACTTAATTATTGGCAAAAATTGCCTTTTTCCCGAAATCCTTCAAATTCACATCGCAGGTACGGTAAAACTATGAGAGGTATTAAGCTCATTCTTTCTGTGTTTAATTCTTATATATTCTTTATAATATCCAGCATAGAAAACTTTAATTTTTAATAATCCATTTAACAAAATTTTTTAAAGTTTGAAAATGGAGTTTTGGAGATGCTGTTAAAATAATGGCCCTTTTTTGACCACAGACAAAACCGAGTAAGTGTTATCCAATTTGAACAAAAATTCGTACTAGCACATTTATGAACCTTATAAAGATATTTTTTTGTAAAATTTTTCAAAACTAACAAAAATTTTCTTATATTTACTTTTATATGTCTTCAGAATCACAAAATTCTCGGGGGAAATTTTAATAACTCAAAATTTGTTTAACGAATTTTGAGTTTTTCCATCTTTTTGGAAAGACAATTTTGTAGACATTACGATTTTGCTATAAAATGGTGCAATAATTAATACTTAAAGCCTCATTTTGTGAAAAAACTCCAAAAAGTGCCATTTTTCTCATATAAACGCATTTACAAACTTTGGCGGCGATGCGCGGGCTCTTACCCTCAAAATAATTGAATAATATTTTACAGTCTTCCATTTGACGTTAAAATACAACACAATTTCACTATTAGATGTTGATCCGAGCGAAAAGCCTATTTTCGACCCACCCTAATATACATACATACATACAATAACAAAATCTCACTAAAAAATCATCAAAATGCTTAAATTTAAATCAATTTTTATTTAAAGAAAATATCTAAATTTATAAGTATAGTACTTTATAATTTTATAAATTTTAAATTAATTAACAATTTCTATTAGCAATAATTATCAATTACTTTATTTACTTTTGTCAACATTAAACACAAAAACATACAATATACTAAAACAAATTGCATACAATAACAAAGTCTTACTGAACAAACAACCCATCAAGTTTTATTGTTCAGTTGGCTTGATTTGTACTAACCAGTCAAACTATCAGTTTTTTTTACGTCCCTTAGTAAGAAAACGAAACCAAGAACTAAGCAATACGTAAGCAGCACACGCAAATCTGTTTTTACTGTTCAGTCGTTGTGTTCAGTTCGGCTGAGTTGAAAAAACTGCTGAAGAAAAACAAAACCACTTGCAAGTTATTGCAGCAGTGCGTTGACACAGTTGACTGACTTCAGTTAGCTTGTGAGGGAAAAATAAATACTTGAACTTTCTTCAGTTCAGTCGGCATTTAAAAAAATAAAACTAAAAACTAAATATTAAACCCTGGTTTTAATCTCATCTTTAATAAATTCACTTTTCCAAATTGTAAATATTTCTTATAAAAATCTCATAACTTTTACTATTTTTTAATTTACTTAAAAAAATTATATTTTAAAACTCACACAACAAAATTTTTAGCGAGAACTTTCTTAAACAACTTATTAAAGTCAACTAAAATAAAATCAAATAACTTAACAAGTTAGAATCTTAAATACCCTCCACCAGCAAGTTACTTTTTATTAAAACCCATTTAATTATATAATTTTTAGATAACTTGACAAAATATTTGTTTCTGTATTGAGGATACTAACATTTATGCATATGTCGAACTAATTTTGATTAGGTCCATTTTAAGAGAATGATTTATCTATACACAGAACACAATCATGTCGAATTTTATCCGGATATAATCATTTAATAACGAATTAAGTGATGTTAAGTGATTTTCAGAAGTTAACCTTTTATGGGAGTTAAGACAACTTATGGACCGATCTGGAAAAATTTCCGTAGAGTGATTTATATATACAAAGTACACATTTATGTCGAATTTTATCCCGATAACTTTGATTATCAATATGCATTTAAGCGATTTTCAGAAATGGTCCAATTAAGGACCGATAAGAAAAAATTTCGTATAATTATTTATATAAAAAAAATCAAGTCGAATTTTACTCCAATAGATTAATGAAATATGTGCGTTTAGGTGATTTTCGGAATTGGACTTTATATAGGAGGTATAACCAATTACGGGCCTATCCGGTAATATACATATATGTACACGAAACATATTTGTGTCGAATTTTATCAAAATGTCTTTATTTGACAATGAAATATGTGCGTTTAAGTGATTTTTTGAAGTGGACCTTATGTAGGAGCTATTTAAAAATATGGACCGATCCGGAAAGAATTTGGTAGAAATATTTATATGCTCACAAAACATATTCAAGTCGTACTTTATCCCGATAGCTTTATTATTCAAAGAAAAATATGAGTCTAAGTGATTTTCGTATGTGGACCTTATACGGGAGCCTATCCGGAAAACATATTTGTGTCGATTTTTATCAAGATAACTTTATTTGACAATGAAATATGTATGTTTAAGTGATTTTAGGAAGTGGGCCTTATATGGAAGCTATGACCAATAATGGACCGATCCGGGAAAAAAGTGGTAGAATGATTTATATGTACACAAAACATATCCAAGTCGAATTTTATCCCTATAGCTTTAGAATTCAATGAAATATATGCGTTAAAGTGATTTTCGGAAGTGGACCTTATATATGAGCTATCCGGAAAAATTTCGTA